GGCTGCCGGACAATGATCTGAGGACTTCTACGAAAAATCCTACACCCTTTTGTTCGTAGTAGCCCTCCCTTGGTTCACGACTCATTTCTAACCAAATGTCCTCCTAGAACAAGAATTCCAGACATAATATACCGTTCCATGCCTTTTAGACTTGTCGTTAGGTGAGAAAGTAGGCCTGGAAGTATCTCACTCAGTATGCTCAAGTGATTTCTCGAAGACCACTTTTTAAAGTAATCGAGACCACTGCCAGTTGAGGTGGTGAAATGAAGTGATTCGGCCTCAGGATGTCTCTCAAAACTTCTTCTCATCCGAGCTTGACTGTGATTTCGATTTCCCTTGCATCTCATAATCAACCGAAACGGGATTCTACATTGGGTTGACACACGAAAAGTGGCATCGTGTTACCATCCAGCCGCGCGACCGCAGGTGTATTTGAGGCACAAGAAAGATGTGACGTTAAAGGTAATCCAAGCCTCTCCTAAATCCCACTTATGCTGGGATAATTCAACCATCAGTCCTGAGATCCCTCAAGGCGATCCAGATTGGTCTTATCGACAGTATGCAAGAATTGTGGTGATCATGCACGAGAGACGATTTGTGGCTGGCGCATCGTGTGATGAGAGAGTGTCTACAAAGTATTGGACTCAGCTGAGACCAACTTGGGAGTACCAAAATTGTCCAATCATCAAACAGACCCAAAATTCAAGGACTGTAAGGCTGCAGCAGGCCAGCACAATGAATCGAGCTAGAGAGGAGCAAATGGGATAACAAAGAGGTGGATTTTTTCAAAAGATCATTTTGCGAACTCACGTGGCGGAGGAATATCGGGCAGTTCAGGATCAGGAGGTATGAACTTTCCTGGCTTGGCCGCACCTTGAATGAAGAAAGAAAAAGACAGAAGCAAATTATAAGACCCGAAATTGGTGTTACCCGACCATCGAATAGCCCAAGTGGGGGCGAAGTAAAATGGTAGCAGTACAAGTGGAAAAGGTGCAAATTCAACATGATCTCTATGCTCACGTAAAAATGACCCAGTCTGTCAAATGCACACAGTCATACAAGCGACGGGACGGAAAAGGGATCACTCATTTTGGCTCCCATCCCCGGACCTCGACTGTCTGCCGCCCAGTTACCGGCTGGAACATGGTGATTGGATAATGCCAGACATAATATTCCACTATGGCAAAACTTTCCAGACTTCATAGCTTTGACAGAACCGACAACGGGCCCAGAGACGGGTCAAGCCCCAAATGACTTGCAAAAACTCATGGGTCTGGCTTTCGTAGTTGATGTAAATATATAAATATAAAGTTGGTAGTGGTGGGATTATAATAGTGCTGATTTTTTCATAGGATCTATCTGAGTTCGAACAAATTTAATATCCAAGAAAATCTTTCTCCAATTTCCAGTGAGGCCAATTAAAAAAATCCTATCAACCAATTAACATTTGAAATTCAACGCTGAGACTACTAAACCTGTGAATGAAATTATATAAAAAACTGGCGTATCTTGAATAAATAACAGAAAACCGTATTACTGAGAATCACTTAGTAATATGATGACAATAATGATAAATACTAGATAATAATTAAATTTAATTAATAATTTTCAAATCGAAGGAAAATTGTCAAATATGTTTCAATGTTATGCTGAACCCTGATTAGCCTCGAATCTGATAAGCACAAATTCAACCACACCACCAAGACCAAATTATAGGTAATTCATGTCGGAAATCGGTAACGACTATATCCGCATACTAATCATGCCTAAAATCATTCGCTTGCATTCGTGAATCGCTAACTCACAGACTAGCTTTCTTGGCTTTTAGTGTATTGGTTAATTTTCGTAAAAGATGGTCTCTACTTCTAATGATGTCCTTCAAAGTGGTACGGGCGAAAGCTCGGCAACGCTGGATCAGGGTCGAAGGATGAGGTACATAAAGCAACAGTCAATTCTCCCAAACTTAAGAAACCCTTCCAACCAAATCTTTCTAACAAATGAAAAAATTAGTTACATTGGTATACCTCACTACAAAATCCGCCTCCAGATGGCCTCGAAAGCAAAATTATTACGGATACGATGAGTAACCGAATTTCGAAGAATCTATTGACATAACATTGTTGGGGAGACTTTCCTTGCGTATAAAGATCCACGAAGAAGAGATTCGAAGGTCGATCTCACAGGAAAACTATGGCTGATTCCCGCTGCACTGGAGCCGTTTAGTTTTAATACGACGTTCAGGTTGATACAATCCAAGAAACACCCTCCCTCATTACGGGCGAAAACAGGCTGAGCCTATATTTATCAAACGATGGAAACCAGCAGAACTTGAACTCATTCTTGTAAAAGTCTTAAGCCAGCACAAGGTCAAGAAAACTGTCCGGCTCTATTTTACGTCTTATATATCCTCATAACTGAAAACGAATATATATGGACATGGATAGATAGATATTGATCATAGTAACTTTACTTTTGTGTGTGTGTGTGTTTTAGCGTCTATACACAATATCGATCCTATATGAGAGTGATTAAAAAGCCTGATGTCAGACCCGAGCTATCAGGGCGTAATAATTATAGAATTGACCCTGACCAAGACTGCGTAAATCCGCTAGCAACTATCGTTGGGATATTGAGATGTGAGCTTGTATGTGTGTAATTAAGGTTATAAAACCATCCAAAATAACCCATTAAGCTATGGTTATTAAGGTACAACGACCGAAGTAAACGGATGACTGGTATTGCATAAACTCATACGATTTGGTTAAGTTGATAAGCTTAATATGACATATTGGATGAGTATGAGTAAAGTAAGAAGCTTCACTGGGCTGGCAGGTTGAGTCGACGCCTTTTGGATGGCAGTCTAATACTCTCTATTCTTCAGAGAGGATATATAAATTAATAGATTTTGGAATACATTGAATGTGAGGAAAGTTGAGTTATACCTACTTATCGAAGCTATGAAGGCCAAAATGGTGTGGCCTTTTGTGTGGTCGCAGTCTCCTTTCGTTGTATAGAAGTTGTTTGACCTTGCTTTCACAACAGCCTTTTGTGTGGTCGCAATCTCCTTTCGTTGTATAGAAGTTGTTTGACCTTGTTTTCGCAACTTGGTCATTTTGGTAGGAAGTTTGTGTGGTCGCAGTCTCCTTTCGTTGTATAGAAGTTGTTTGACCTTGTTTTCGCAACTCGGTCATATTAGTAGGAAGACTTAAAGGAACATTGTGTGGTCGCAGTCTCCTTTCGTTGTATAGAAGTTGTTTGACCTTGTTTTCGCAACTTGGTCATAATGTTAGTGGTCGCAGTCTCCTTTCGTTGTATAGAAGTTGTTTGACCTTGTTTTCGCAACTTGGTCATATTGGTAGA